AGAGGTGAAATGGACCAGAGGTGCTGCAGAGGTGAAATGGACCAGAGATGTAGCAGAGATGAAATAGACAGGCCTTGGCAACAGTTTGGGTATGGGGGATGTGGGAAAAGGAAGAACCAAAGACTCCAAGTTGCAAGACTGGGAAGTTTCCCCCAATATCAACAGGAGGAGGGCTTGAGGGAAGAGAACAAGTTCAGTTTGGGAGCCAGTGAGATTGCGGTGTGTCTGGGGAATCTGTGAAGCAGCTTGTGATGGGGAACAGAAGCCCTGGGCAGAGGATGAGGCTGGGCACGTGAGCTCCTGATAAGAGACAATCACTCAACTCAGTGGAGCTGCTGAGGTCAGAAAAGAGAGCTGGGGTCTAGGAAGGTGCTTACCTAAGGCCTTCCCACCTCACATAGGGGAGAATTGGGAGTCATAAAGCGAAAGGGCTGCTTTGGACCAAAGGCCCCTCATCTGACCATACAAGACAGCTACAGGAAGGAACCCTAGAGTTAAGATCAGAGAACCTGCATTCCTTTTGGGGAAAGTGAGGCCAGGAGAGGCAAAAGCCCAGTGAAGAGGGTCATAGACTTAGAACAGAAAAGGATCTTGGAATTCATCCAGCCTAAGCTCCTCATTTTACAGATGAGGAAACTGAGGCAGGGCCAGGTGGGAAGTGGAATGTACCACGGTCACATAGACTTGCAAAGTGGAGCAGAGGTTGGGTCAGACCCTTTCCCTCTCCCTCTGAGGTTCCTGCCAGCTCTGGCTACATTATGGGAAGGCTAGTGCCAAGAAGAGAGTTGATTTGGGTCTGGCCCCACCCTGGGACTGGTCTGACAGGAAATGTGGTGTACTGAGTTATCATCAAGGCCTAGAATGTGCTGTGGCTCAGCACCTGGGGCCTGCCCCTCTGCTCTGGAACAGTCTTCTCAGAGGCCCTGGCACCAAGAGGCAACTGAGGAGGAAGGGGCCTGGGTCAGCTGGGCAGCAACAGGGGCCCTTGCCCAGACTCCCTTAGCCACATCTGCTGAAGCCGTAGTGGACGCCTCCCACCATTCCGTGCTCTGCCCAGGACAAGGGGAGCCGGGTGTCCAGTCCACAGCAGGAGGAGTCAGAGTGGGGCAGGGAAGGGGTTTAAGAGAAGGGCATTAAGCCCAGGAGAAACTGGGAGCCAGCCGGGCTGGGCCTCAGAGACCTCTGTTCTGGGCTGGGCCCTCCTTACTATGCTGTGTGCCTTCAGCCCTGCCCCTTTCCCTCTCTGGGCCTCAGTGATCTCTGAGGACCCTGCCACTGGCTCCGGGAATCCAAGATGGTCCCAGCGCGTGGCGAGCAGGCTCAGGAGCCAGGCCCCAAGGGAGGAATGTCCTTTGGCCTGACTCTGATAAGTGAAGGGGCAGCATAGCTGCAGCTCATGCCTGGCCCCGCCTGGGCCTCAGCGTCCTGCTCTGTGAGATGGGCATGAGGCCATCTGCAGGCTCGCCAAGGAGGATAGATGAGGGGGATGCCCAGGAGACATCCCCGTGTTGCACTTGTGAGCCCTACAGAGTGGGGTGCTATTACCTGCCAGCCAGGTCCCAGAGCTAGGGAACGTCTTGCCACCATCCAGGGACACGCTGAATGGAATCCGCCCGCTTTCGTACAGGAGGGGTGATACACAATGGATCCTGCCCTTGTCATCCACGTAGCCTTGAGTGTGGATGGCCTCTCGAAACCTGACCACCAAAAGAAGAACACGGAGAAGGCAGCTCAAGAGAAAACCTGAGCCCTGCCTGGGAGAGGCAGGTGGGAGGAGCACAGCCCCCTGGGCCTCTGTGCTCTTCAGACAGGCCCCTGTCGTCCTGAGGCCAGTTCTGAACCAACTGTGCTTTAAAGAGGGCACTGTGAGGGGGAAGGGAAAAGGTGGGTGGGCAGCCAGCACAGGGCAGGGAAGGGCCACCGCAGAGGATCAGCTGGAGGAAGTGGGCATGCTCAGCCTAAACAAGAGAGACTCAGGGACCACATAGGAACTGGGGTCCTGTGTCTAAAGGGTCATCCTGAAGGGAGATATTACCTTTGTTCTACAAACATAACAAAGTGGGGATAGCTACTGAGAGGTACTTTCAGGCTAGGTGCATGGAAAACCTTCCTAAAAATCAGCTATCCCAGTGTGGAAAGGGCTGCCTGAAGAGCTGCTGGCTTCCCCTCATAAAGAGGCTGTGGACCCAGTGGCTGGGTCTACTCTAGGGAGTATTCCTTTGGTTTCTGAGTCAGATTTAAGGGTGGCTACGACCCCTCTGACTCTGACCTTGGGAGCCCTCCACCCCAGCTCCCAGCTCCCAGGTGCTAGAGAGAGGACTCCCCAGGGCATCCCTGTTTGGAATGGTCGCTACAGGACACTTGGGAAATCTCAGTTCACTCAGATTCGACGCTTCTCCGCCCAGTAAGGACTGGGTGCTAAACAAATGTTTGGTGATTTGACTTGGCTTGACCTGACACCTGTCTGACAAGGAGAACGGGTATAACACCAGCCAGGGACTGTCCCCGCACATGGCTCCTCCTCCTCTTTCCCATGTGGGCTCTCACCACACAAACCAGCTCAAACTAGTGTCATCCTAGAGGGCTCTGGGCTTCTCTTGGGCAAAGAGAGGGAAGACTCAGGACAGCTGGGGAAGGGCTGTAAGAAGGGTCACCTGCCCCCTCCAGCCCCCTCTGACTCCTGCTACCCTCATCAGAACTCTTACTTCCCTCCCTTGCCTGGACAGAGTTTCCACCCCATGTGTCTGTCCTTTGCCCCTTGACAGCAGGCATGTTGAGGTCTGGGCTGCCCTCCCTCCTCACCTCCCAGATGCCTTCCCTCCTTCACCTCTCCCTTTCAAGCCTCCCAGCTGAGCTCAGAGGCTCTCTTCCTGGCCAGGCTTCTCAGGAATGTGCCCTTCCCTTGGATGGCTGTGCTTTCTGCCCTCCAGAAATGACTCACCTGCAGACCACGGAGGTCACTGAGGCAGGGGAGACCCATGGCTCACTCAGCACCACAAAGTCTTTGCCGCCCATTACTGAGCCTGAATAGGGTGAGATCTCCAGACAGAACTGCAGATAATCAGGACAGCAGGTGTTCAGAGATGGACAGGTCACATGGCAAGAGCAGTTTCCTCTGAAATCCCCGCAGTGCCCAGCACAAGACTCCAGGGCCTCTGAGAAGAGAGAGACCCCGAGGAGCTGAGCCCCGGCTCCCCCAGGCCAAGGGGCAGGGGAGGCTCCAAGGGGCCCCAGTGAGCCTTCCTGAGAGCGGACACATCCATCCCCGTGCCACAATGTCCATGTCCAGTGCCAGCGGAACGCGGGACCCAGCAGCCCAGGTTCCTTGGGGCAGTAAAACCCAGGAAGATGAGCGGAGAGGAAGGCACATGAGTGAGTGACCTCTAAACATTCAGGACAGCCCACGTCATGGAATGTTCACAATTGATGATGACTAAATAAAAGTTCTGAGGACCCAAGGCCCCAGCCTGGCAGACCTTTTCCCATAGTCTGGCTTCTTCGGCATTCACCTGCGAGGAAGGCAGGGCCCCCTCCCCTCCAAGGACACCTCAACAGCCCTCCTTTCACACGTGAGGAAATCCAGGTCCAGAGAGGGGCCGCTGACATGGTCAGCCACATGGCCCTCAGTGAGTACAGGAGGATTTACACCCAGGTCTCGACTATGGGGCGCTTCCCCCCAGTAACATTCACACTGTTCCCCAGGAGAGTCCTGGGCGCCTTCCCCCTGCACAGCCTGCTCCCTCAAGGTTTCCTCCGGGTCTGGAACTCTGGCACCTCCCCTTAGTTTGGGAGCCCTGGGCTGGATAGGGGTGAGCTGGGCAAAGCCCTGGGCTTTCTCCTGCCCAGTTCTTTTTTCTCCAGAGGATCGCCCTTAGGGGCTCTGTGCTGGGCTCCGGGTTGCTCGAGAGAGTGGCGATCAGCCCGGCGGCTGACACTTGGCTTTGCTTCTCACTGAGCCCTGCAGGGAGCCCCCCCAGCAGGAGCTCAGCGCCGGGGAAGCCGACTGCCCCAGTCCAGGGACGCGTCCTTTGCCGGGGGGGGGGGGGGGGGGCCCTTGGGCTCCCCCGGGGCCCCCCCCCCATAAGCACGCCCCCCTCCCCACCCTGCGCCTAGGCAACGGTCCCAGAGAAGCGATTGCCTGCTGAGTGCAAACAAACCCCCCGGCGGCCTCGGGGCGAGCGGTGGCCCCGGGAGGTGCGGGTACAAGGGATTCGGCCGAGGGGGTCTCTGAGTCAGGGCCGCTTCGCAGAAGGCTCCGGAGGCACGAAGAAGTCTGGACCCTCTGCGGAAACCTCAGGTGAGCCGGGGGCGGCCCGCGCAGCCTCCCAGCCCAGGTGGGTCAGTGTCCACTTTGAGATTCGAAACCAAACGCTACTTCTAAGCTTCTCCAGCCCAGAGACCCGAGGGCGCTCGGACCCAGGCAGGGGCCAGGTGCCCAGCCTGTTCAGTGCGTGTCTCCCCGCCACCCCGCCACCACCACCCCGGCCGGCGAGGGCTGAGCTCCAGCCCTCCGACGACGCGCACCAGTGCCCGGGTCCGGGACAGCTGTACCACACCAGACCGAGAGGTCCTCGAGTACCTGCGGGCAGCCAGAGAGCCCCACTGGCTAGGATCGCGAACCACCAGAGCCACATGGCTGGCCGGCCTCAGTGTTCCCGCCCCGAGCAATGGGCTGGCGGACTGATGGAAAAAGAGAAGAGGGACCAGAAGATGGCTGGGCCTTGGTAGGTCTGTCGGGAAGGCTCATAAAGCCTGGTCCCAGGCCGGTTCCAACTCGGAGCACCGCCCCTCCTCCTCCAGCCCCTCCCCTCCCAAGGTCCGAACTGAGGAGACCTTGCCCCAGCTCCGCCCCCAGGGCCCCACCCCTCCAAGTCCAAGGCACTGGGTCGCTGGAGGTGTGGAGAAGGGAGGAGGAATGGGTCAGGCTGGGGCTGGGGCTGGGGCTGGGGCTGGGTCTGGACGGCCCCAGGTCTCCAGTCTCATGTCCCCGTAGGCTCTGGGCTGCAGGAAGAGAAGGGGGAGGGGAGGGACCCCCGCGGCCACTCCACTCCAAGGAGGCTGTGACCCCCACCCCAATCATCCCAAGCGGGGAGTGGCTGGGGGCAGGGGGGATGCTGGAGGGGTGCCTTCGCTTATCCACCCCTCGAGGGCACAGGGGGTTAGCCAGGCTATGAGAAGACAGGGAAAGGACCTAACCGCTCTCCGGGAGCGCCCTCTGGGACGAGTCCGCAGGTACGCAGGTCTCGGAGCCATCGCGCCAGGTGACCAACGACCAGGAGGATGTCAGCTCCATGAGGGCAAGCAGCCTGGCCCTGTCTGCGTTCCCAGCCGAGCTCGGTACCTCGGCGCTCCGGAGGTTTCCCAAGTCCTGTAGCCCACTGAGCTGCCTTGGGGGGAGCTCCCCGCCTGCAATGGCTGCCCGGGCTTGCCAGAGACGGACCCTGAGATCTAGAGGGGAGGCCTCCTTCCCTCCCTGCAGGGCGCTGACTTTGTGGGGTGCACAGATCCCACAACAGCGCTCTAGGCCTGGTGATGCCTGAGGTCCCTCTGAGAGGTCAGTCTCAGATGTCTCTGAGATTAGAAGAATGGGGGCCTGTTTGGGGGCTGATTGAGACCACTGCTCGGCAGACAGAGGTAGTGGGCTGGAAGGGAGGGGGCTAGGCACGGAGCTCGGAGCCAGACGGGTTTCCTGGCCCACAGTTTAAGACCCTACTGCGTGCGGGGCAGTGTGCCAGGCACGGGGAGAGGCAAAGCCAGAAGCAGGACTAGCCCTGCCCTCTCCCTCAAGGCCCGTCTTGGACAGGGAGACCTCCGCAGCTAGACTGATTGAGGAGAACAGAACCTACCGGTCAAGCAGCAAAAACGTGCGAGTCGCCTGCTGTGTGCCTGGCACTGTGCTCCTCGCGCTGCTGCAGCGCTTTGGGATTTGCAAAGTGCTATTTCAATATCTCATTGGATCATCACGAGCCTGGGATGCAGATGCTGTTATTATCCCTTTTACAGATGAGGAAACTGAGGCAAACGGCAGTTAAATGACGTACCTAGAGTTATTTGGCTAGTCTGCCTGAGGCAGGATTTGAACTAGGTCCGACTCCAGGCCATCAAACCCACTGTGGCCGCCTGGCTGTCTCTAGAAGGCAGCCAGAGAAGTGGGCCGAGGGTCTGGAAGACCTAAATGCAAATTCTGGCGGAGGCATTTGCTACTTAACCTCTCCATGCCTGGGGATAATAATACTAACCTGCCTCTCAGAATCCTTGTGAGAATCTGATGTGCTTTGCCAACCTTGATGAGCTACACAAGCTGGAGCTATTACTTCACCTCTCAGCCTCAGTTTCCTCAGCTGTAAAATGGGGATAATAATAGCCCCTCCTGTTGTGAGGATAGAGGAGATAACATGCAAAGCAAAGCTGCACTTTAAAGCACTATCTAAATACTGCCTTGCAATAAAGAGTTTGCCTGATGGGCGAGATGGACAGGACCCTCCCCTAAGTGCAGACAAACTAAAATATAAAGAAAATAATACAAAGGTCAGTGCCAAGGTAGCTTGAGGGAGGGGTGGGGGGTGGAGGGGAGGGAGGGAGAATCAGAGTGGGTGGGGAGAGGGGGAGAGGAGAAGGGAGGGCCTGAGCAGGTGGGGGGATGGGGGAGGGGGAGAGGAGAAGGGAGGGCCAGAGCAGGTGGGGGGAGGGGGG